TGTTTTCTTCCCAAATTTTCGACCGTCAAAATTGCCTTTTAATCTTAATATCTTAAACCGCCAAAACATTCTTTTTTTTTCAAGATCTAAGCTGATACTGTTTCCTGGTTTATTCTCTTTTTATTTGTTATTCTTTTGCGTTATTTGTAATCCTCTCCCCCTCACACTTACACGCTCACGTACGTTTACTTTGCACTTCTCTTCATTTTTAATTATGTGTGTCTCATTCCTTTTCTTCGTTTCTTTATCCTTCTTTTTATTCATTTTCAAGTGCCCCCCACTTCTTTCCCTTCCTATTTGTTGCTGGTAGTTCTTATTTTAACCACTGATCATCTTGTATTGTATCTTAGGTTTCGCTTAATAATATATTAGCTGTGTGTGTTTTGTTTTCTCTTTAATGTGATGGTGGAGTTTGGACTGAACACAATTATTTATCGATGGCAGTATTGGTTTTGATGGCAATCACGACCTCTTCACCACAGGCTTTCAGCACAGTGCACTAAAAAAAAATTTATATTTGCTTCTTTTGCGATCATGCAAACTTTGATTGATATATTCTTTACTGCAGTTATATAAATTATATAAATGCATGAAACATTTTTTTATAAGGAGAAGTGAAATAACTTTCTTATCTTTAATAGATTCTGATGTAATAATTAATAGATACATTGAAAGCTAATATAAAATAGCTTTAATGGTACTCACAAGAAGCTCCTTCCCAGCCTCGTGGTCAGTACGCAACTGAGCACCTAGGTCACCATCAGGAATTTTTAAATCCTCACGAAGTTCACCATTATCAGCCATCAGGCATAAGTAGCCATCGTCGGATATATCTGCTAGCTGTAATATAAATACACAAATTTTTATCAAAATCTTTGTTTATTGCTTAATATAAAATGTTATGATATATACATATATACTGCAACAAAAATAAAAAAAGTAAAAATTCAATGCTTAATACAAATCGCATAAAAATGCTTAAAATTTTGCTTAATTCTAATGATTAATATGTAGATATTACATGATTCAAAAAAATATAAAAAGTACATAATTAACACTTTCCATGAGAAAAACTATATACCTGGTAATCTTCCCGTTTAACGAACGGCACGTCCATATTGTGCGTAGAGGGACATATATCCTCATATTTCTTTGAAGTAAAAATGTCAATGCCTACAAGATGTACTTTGGCATGACCATGCTTGCCTGTCTTGGAAGTTGACATTTCTACAATTTTACATGGTCGAGATTTGAGCATTACAAACCCATTTTTACGCAGTGCTGAACACTGCATTGGGTATGTTACAGAAGCACCGGAGTCTCCGGTTTCGAAGTGAGTATCCTCTATGTCTGCCATTCTGGGTTTCTTTTGTTAATCTGTAAGTATTATTTTACATAAATCATCTAATATATTTCAGTAATTATATATATCTGAATCTACTATATAAAAGTAATTATCTATATCAGGCGTTGACAACTTTTTCTAGCTGTGGGTCAAAATCAACCAAAATATAACTATTAAGAAGAGGTTTTGGGATAGTGACATTTTAAAACAGTATTTAAGTTAATAATAAAATAAATATTATTGAGAAAATAATTACAATATGCTTTTAAATTTTAGTCATAAAAATTCAAAATAATGACTTTAATTATTATAAAAACAGACATAATTGTCAAATGAGTTATTTAGTAACCCACAGGATCATAGGGGTTGCCAAAACCTGATCTACATCATTATAAAGCAAAATTACAAATTTTATTAATTACAAAATTA